CTGTTTGTCTAACCATCTGTGCTCCAACTGAAGTATACACATGGTCCAGACTGAATAAAAACCAATTCTATGGATTAAAATAGTATCTGAGACACTGTTACATCTAAAGATTTTAGTGCTTGTGACTTTGTTGACCTGTTTACACGTAAAGGTAAATTTAAAATCTGTAAAATCTGAAAGATAGCATGAGGAAATAATGTGACTAGTCTGTCCACTTCAAAAAGGTTTTCAAGTTAAGTGATGCTGTCTGAATGCTGCACACCTTTCAAAACTTCTGCTTGCTTAGGGTGTGGATTAAGCTAGCTGCCTTCCTCAGTTTCTGAGTAGTTTTGGGGTTTGTTTGTGAGTGTAAAGGTAAGAACATGCTAAAGTATTTTGCTATGCTTTCACTTGCCTCATATTTCTATTTCAAAATGAGATTCATTCCTTTTTCTGTTGTTGCTCAAGGTGTTCTGTACAAATACTAACAAAACGTTAGAAATGTAGCTGACCGCAGCCTGAAGTTAATTGTACTGAGAAACCTCACTGTGTTCTTTCGGTTTGCTTCCTTCATCAAGATTTTCTTTTTCATGCATAAGTATATTTTGTATGTTCAAAATGCTGAGATTAGGATTCATAATGAAAAGATGAAAAGCACTAGGCTATATTAGGATTGGTTCAAAATATACATATAATGGTCATTTATTATTTATTGAAATTACTCCTTAGAAATTATTAAATAGCAAGTTTATGGAAGCTGGTGATGCTTGTTCAAAGTGGTAGGAAGTTGAAGTTTCTGATATTGTTTCACAAGATTAATTTTCTTTAGTGATAACCTGGGGAATTCTTTAAATTACCTTTTCTTAGTTGATGTAGCACCATCTGCCACATCTGCAAAGAAGATAATTATTTTTAGGAGCAGCTGTGGCTTTTTTGATTAAGTCTTGAGTCATCAAGGTCAGTATTTTTGAATTATTCATTGTAGGAAAATAGAAGCAATTGTTTTGCATTTTGGTCAATAATCAAGGATGTCTTGTTATTACAGTTAGTGCCATAAATCTCATAGCTATTTACTACAGTCATCTAATTTCCAAGAAATTTGATTGCATTCTTTGTGAGAGCATTTAGCTTTGTAGGAAAAAAGTATCAGTCATAATTCATGAATCAGTAAGACAGCACCTGGTGGCAAATAAGTGACCATAGAGACTCTTTTGTTAATGGAAATATTGAAGTGAAAATTGCATACTTCTTAACACTGGGCCACGGGTCCAGGTTCCCAGCTTCAGTTTCAAAAGCTGTATTGTAAATTAGGATCTCTCACACCAAAGGAAAAATCCCCAAATGAGCCATCCTTTAACAGAGATTCCTTGTTATGCCTGTGGCCTTCTGTGATAGCTCTAAATCAGATGAGCACATCCCATTCAGATGGGCATTCTCCATCACATAATAAACAAGGGGAGCCAAGCAAAGGTAAAAATTGGGACCTGAAATCTTCAACAACCATGCTTTATCTTGTAGCAAAAAGCCTCCAATCTGTGCCAGATGCTTTGAAAGACTAGTGCTTTGTGTAATCCCTTAATGTGAAGTAACGAGCTATCATTTGATGATGAGATAGCTACATCTCTGCAGCAGTTTTTTTCAGCTTCCTGCTGTTGAGGAACTAATGAGAATGGGCAACTTCTCAAAGACAGAATAGGTTTTTTTCCTTGGGGAGTTAATGAAAAATATGTTTATCTTACTGGTTTTGCTACAGAGCAAAGGTGGCAGAGCTGTATGGCATAAGGAGGGTCTCTTAAGAAATCACATATGTGTTGAAAATTAAAGTTTGAAAGAATGGCCACAGGATAAAGAAAGAGAAGAGGAAATTTTGATCTGAGAGATTAAATAATTGAAAAAGAGCTGTTGAAAAGCCAAACCTGTGTTCCACGTTGAAAGAGAGACCTGTGAATCCGAAGGTATCTAGACAAAACCTCATATACTGCACCTCCTTGAGTTATGGAAGACTCAGGTTTGTGACACTGGATGCCCAACCTGAAGAAGCTCAGCTAGGTCTAGGTACTCATTTTTCCATCAGTTAGTATGTACTGCTCGTATCTAATTTGCTTGATACCCACATGTTGTCAGGTAGCTGACCATCAATGGTGGCCAAGGTGTGCAGGTATGTGTTTCTCTGTACTTCTTGCAGAAACTGCCTACCCATAAACTCACTGAGAAAAAGGCTGTGGAGTCTAAAACTATTTCCAAATGTAGCTCTCATAATTTAACATTTCTTTGTTAAAATTATTCAACTTTTCTGTGACTGTGAACTCTGACTGCACAAACAGTGGGAGTCTGGAGTTCATATCACTAGCACAACACTAGAGTTGAACTGCAATGCAGCATGGGAACAGGGTTCTGCTCTGCAGTTACAGCACAGGAAATGTGAACCCAAAGGCAAAAACGAAGCAGTGAGTGTTACAGATACTCATAAACTGTCCTGTGAAACACAGTTACTGATTTTGCCTGTGCTTTGAGTAATCAGCTGGATGTGAAGGACTAGGATAGCTGACGAGAGTTCAGGTTTATCAGATTTCAGCAACACCAAAGGCGGTTGTTGTTGCCTGTCTGAACTTCAGTCCGAGATGGAGCATTTTCTCATTCAAAACATTTAATGGCATTCTACATTTATTTCACTCATCATGTACTTTTAACAAGCTTTTCTATATTTACAAATGAAAAGTGGTTTATTTTAGAAAGAACACAGATTTTAAAGGATTAAGATGACTTTACAGATCTTTTTGCTTTCCACATGACTAGGAAGATAGCTTTACTTCTGTATGGAACATGTAATGTGCTACCCATTACTGGAGAATCATCCAGAGATAGCACAAATTTGTTAATACTCCAGAACACAACCCCTCAACTATATTTTCCATCTATCTTTTAATGTACTATTCTATTTGTACTGTTTAATTAAGGTCCAAAAAGGCCTTCAGTTAGTGGCCACAACATCATCTTTGTTGCTTTTAGACCCAGCAACACTTTATGCACCAGAAGTTCAGTACCCTGCATACTATGTAACTGAGAGCAAACAGTCATTATCAGCATATCAAGTCCCTGTACAGCAAAGCAGTGGCAAAACTCAGTCTTCCTCTTGGTGATTAGCAGGAGAAAACAATGGGCCCTGTATTTCAACCAGACTTGATTTGCAATTTATTATTAGATTGCAGAAGTGATGCACCTTATCAAAAAAGACAACGCACAGCTTCCACTGAGAGTACTGAGTTAGTTGTACCTAGTACAGAGGTTGCATCTAAATGCGGACTTATCAAGGAGGGTACTTATACAGTATTTGACTCTCTGAATATGAGGTTCTTATTTTTAATTAAGGTATAAAACCAGAATGACTTCATATGTTTAATGTCCCTCATTCTGTTAAAGAACTCAGTATAAGGCCTATAAAATGCTATTTTGCTTTGTCAAATGCCAGAGAAATTACTGCCCAGAAATGTTACTGTTTATCTATATAATCTGAGCAATAGAGCAGAATTTTGTAAACAGCCAAAAGTCTCCCTTCTAGATATAAGTGATGCTGGTATCTTAGAGAGCATTAAGTGGTATCACACTTTTCAAGTGAAGTCAGTTAACATACTGGTCTTACTTGTGCATCTGTATTCAACTCTCCCATGCAATTCATGAAGTTTCCCCCCAGCTAGCAATTAATAAATGCTGTTAGTTTTATATTTTTCATCCACTCTTCTAATTCCAGTGCATATAGATACCTTTTTTTTATAATAATTATGGAATAGCACCACATATCAGCAGAATTCTTATTGATAAAATTACATATCAATGGGAGTGGATATACTCTTAAGCAGTATCAAATGCAATATACATACATGAATCTTTGAGAGGAAGGTAGCATTATTGATGTTTGACTGGAGATTTGGGCAATTAACATATTGGCTTAAGCTCTAGTGAAGATGACTTATAAAAATGTGGTTTAGCTTTTAATTGAGCATACCAGGAAATTGCACATCATCTGTTATCCTGTTGGAAATGATGAAAGATTATTAGTTAAGCCATGGTAACCTGGTCACTTCTTACAGTCTATCACAACATGTTCCACATCTTCTCACAGATGACTTGCAATAAATTAAAAGTGCTCTAGAGACTCAATTTTGGAAGCAGAACTCGATCATGTAGGATACTCTTTCCCTAGTACATTTCTGGAGAAATAGCCCTTTAGCACTGTGTGGTCTTTCACTGTGATCACATCATGTCCAGAGAGAGACTCTTCACTAAACTTGCAACCATTTGATTATTATATGGAGGGAAATCTTACAAGACTGGCCTGAACTATTCCAAAATAAAAGTGTAAGGGGTGGTACCAGCTGTGCATACAAATAACTTGGCTAAGGGGGGCTTGTTTTTATTGTTTTGTATTTCACACCTGCACAGTCCCAAAGAATATATAGTTCTGTTGTGTACAACTGACTCAAAAAATAGAGTATGTCCATGACTTACCTTTGCCTTAAACCTACAGTGTATCAAGCTAGATTATGGAATTCAACCACTCTTGTTAAGTTTTTTACATTTTAGTAAATGTACCTTTACTTCTATCCAGGCAGGTAAAAATGCAGCAAACATTCCTTTTGTCTACCAAGCTGAACTAATGCAGCAATTATTTCATTTGCTGCTTCAAACTGCCTGCTTATGGAAACAAGCTATTACCACTTTCTACAGTGTCACTGAAGACAGGCAGATATGATTATAGGCAGCTATATATTATCCTCCAGTCTTCAAAAGACATTAGTCTGCTATTTTATATCCAAAGTATGTAGCTCAGGAAAGACTTCCAAAAAGGGAAATTTAAGGTAAAGATAGCCTAGTAACATCATCAAGGAGAGTATTGACAACTTCTTGTAATCTAAGTTAAGTTGCATCTCTTTACTGAACTGTATTTTGGTATCATTTGAGTTATCTATGTAGCTGAGTCACTGGAAAGGTGTTTGGGGATTTGTTTCTTTTTTGTTCTTCAGCAACTTTGAATCTCCACTGATGCATGAAGTCCCAGAGCAGCAAGGCAGCAGCACAGACAGTTTGGCAAGCAGTTTGGGAAGCTCTGTCACAGCATGTAAGAAGGTAACTTTTAAGTTCATGTTATATTCAAAGACATATATATCCTAGATTATAGCTTTGCCTTTTAGCTTTTGTCTTTATTGGGGAATAAAAAATTCAACTGATACCTAAAAAAGTAAAGGACTGATACTGAAAAATAAATTCTGGGTGCTGTTATATCATCTTACAATTTTGTCTGCCTGGTCTATACTTGTCTGATCCCAAAATATATTACACATATATGAGAGATAAACTCCCCCTGAACATTTCTATTTTTCCTCATTATCTGACAGTATGAAATAAAAGCAGTGCGTAGTGTGAATACCCTCAGGACGGCTCTTCAATAGGTGGCAAGTTTCTGGGACCCAGAGTGAGGGTCCAGGGCTTTGCTTCTCTCAGGCTAACAGAGTGTAGGGTCCTTTATGAAACAGCTTTTCTGCCTTCCCTAGTATCTGACTGGAAGGGTTTTAGGAACCCAGAAGGTAGTATAGATTTGACCGTTGCTGGTTTTGTTGCCTCAAAATGGGTTTATATGTAGTTATTTAATTTAGAGGATGTAGGGTTGAAAAAAAAAAAAAAAAAAAAGCAGTGCCTGTGTGTGTATATGTATGTCATTAGGAATAGTCAGATATGACTGAGATTATTTTATGCACAAATGTAATTTCAGTACAACTGAGAATACACAGGTGAGGACTATGAATGCTTCCTTTCATTCCTCCTCCTCAATGCCAGATTATGGGAGTAGAGTCTGAGGGAAGGGGGCACTACCAAAGACGTATTGAGTAGGGCAAGCTATCTTTCATCTCTCACTTTGCAATAACCCTCAGAGCTCTACTGTCTCCCACAGTCATAATTCTAGAGCTGATAAGAAAGCCTTTGTTCTAACCCAGAAATGTTATAAAACTCCACAGTTCATTCAGTTTTCCCATAATTCTTACTTTTTTTCTTTTCCCTCCACTACTAATAATAATTCTTTCCTTTTATTGTTTTTTGTTTAGTTTGTTATTTTCCAAAATAACAACAATATATATTTATGTATGTAAGCAGACAGAGAGAAAGATAAAACATGTAGAAGATAAAGATTTACTTTCCTCATCCTGAAAACCACACTGTGGGTGTGTGGGGTGAGTATTGTCTGTCCGTAGAAATTTTGTTAAATGTAAAATCATTGATATAAAAAAGAAATCAATAGATTCATGTGTATGCTGGGACTGGTCTTCTCCAACTCACCCCAACATGGCTAAAAGACAAAGTGTCAGTATTTCATCTGATCAAAGGGTTTGTTTGTTTGCAAAAGGGTATCTGACTTTTTAAAAATGCTACTTACTGTAACTGAAATCTTCATATAAGCAGAAATAGGCAGAAAACCCATTGTGTGGGAGAACAGCTTAAGTTTTCATTTATTCTCAGAGTTGTCTGTTTTATGTAAGACTGAAGGACAGTGACACAGTACCGAGAAGTGCCACCACTGTGTTTACAAATGCTCCCATCTTGGACGCCTTCAGAAACATCACTCTCTTTTAAAGGCTAGCCTTTACCACATGATTTAGAGCTGCTTCACCTGTCTGATCCCTTACATTTGAACTTTTCATTGTAACACGAGTTGATTTTATGATTGTCAGCAGACTAAAAAAAGTGATTCACTTCTGCCAACGCTTCTGATGAACAACAGGATATTTTGGGATTCTTTACAGCATTATCACAGAATGTGTTACCATTCTTTTTTGTGTGTGTGGAAGAGGATAAAGAATTACCAAAACTAGGCCATCGCCTTCTCTTTTAGCCTCTGTTAGTTACAGTGGTTTTTAAGTTAGATGTCTAATTCATGGTGGAGTGAAACACTATGAGTTTCTGCTGGAATGGAACAGTTTAAACAGTTGACTTACAGGTTTGAGTAATTGTATTTGGCATGAATGACTCCTGTGAGGAACCATATGAAATGTGGCCTGTTACTCCACAGGCTAATCTGAAAAAATACAGAATATGTGCCCCTTGATATCTCATCTTATTCTGTATGCCCCACTTTCATATCTTTTTTGATAAGTAATAATTAACCAAAGCAATTAAGATGATCAGCCATGAAGATGCAGATGTTTCATTTGTGGAGCAAAGCCTTTTTAATGTTGTCTCGGTTATAGATATTTACTGTATTTTAATGTCTTATGATCTAAATCAGGGAGCAGGAAGCTGTTACACTAAACTTGTACACAATATTTTCCTCTGGGAAAGAGTGACTTTTCTAATCCACACTCTGCTACAGGCTGATTTAGTTCATTGATTCACAACACACTGAGTAATGCTGACGGCTGAGTCTCTAGATGAGAGTGGAAAACTTTTTTTTTTAGAACGATGAATTACTGCTGATTTCACATTTAGTGCATGATGCAAATTCATCCTGAATTATTTTCTGAGTGTGATGATCCTGCTCTGAACCAGATATACAGCAGTATAGTGTGTGCAGCTGTTACACATAAGTTTGGTCAACGAATTAAGTTCTGCTTTCAGTTGTACCACTGCAAATCAGAAGCAACCTCACTGAATTCAGCAAAACTGCTAACAATGTATGTCAGTGAGATTGGCCCAGAACCTGTCTCAATCAGATAATAATGAAGAGAATTACAAGACAGGAGGAGGAAATTTTGACAGGCGATACTGTTTGCCTTAAAAGTGCAGGCTATATAACAGAAAGATGCTGACTGACAGCTGAAGTAGTACAGGTTTAAGTTTCTTATCCTTTGGTACAGACGAGCTCAGTATATTTTGAAAGTATGCTTAAATGCGAAAATGGCAATCAGAACGTACTGGTAGAAGTACATCTCTGAGGAATACCAGTTCTCACATTGCATTTGATTAATTAACAATTAATTAGCTCTGCTAATTTAGGCCAGCTCCTTCAAACTTATACACTTTTAATCATTGCAGTAATATATTATTTTACTATAAGGACTTCAGTATATTCCTTTAAAAACATAAATATTCCTGTAAATCTTAATACATATGCAAACTCCCAGTTTATAGAAACACATGCACCCAGTTAACGGGAAGAATTACCTAACAATAGCAAGATGCTGTAAGAAGTATTACATTCACATTTACTGTATGGTTGTCTTTGACCATGATAATATTGCTGTCTGTTACCAAAGAAATATGCCTAAAAGTTCACATGGTATCTATATGTGCATTTTTGCATAGCAGGTGTGTATAACTGTACTGTGATCAGCATTGCAGGGTGACCAAAATCATCCTTCCTCCAGAGAAGTGCTAATGGGAAGGTTCTGAGCAATAACATGTCTGTAATGGTCCTAATGCAGAAACTTGCATGTCATAAGGTAGAGTTTAGACTCATTCAAAGTTCACCCCTCATTCCCGACACTGTTTATGCAAATGTCACCTTCCATCTCCTGAACACCATTCAGATACGCATAAAACGAGATCATATGCAAGGAAGCCTCTCCCACACCTTCCTGCATGCCTCCATTTCCCACAGCATTGTCTTTTCTGAGTAATTTCTGGAGGCTTTCCAGATAACTCTGAGCCAACATGTATTTCTTAGATTGCTGACTTCCACCAGCTTCTCCTGATGTTTGGGCTTAAGTATACCTGGTTTTGTTTTTCGCACTTGCCTTCTTCAAATACAAATTGCTGCAAATTATTTTCTCCAAGATCCAGTAGGAAAAATGTTATGCCTATTTCACCCTTCTTCACATTTCTGGCTGCATTCTCAAGTGCATATGCAGAACTACTTATGTACACATGAGAGCAGAATCTGGCTCTGGGAAAACATCATCCTACTAGTGCTGTTCATCTTCTTGAGGTTACTTAAAAATCACATCGTTTCAAAAACTTCCATATAATATTTTTTACCCTTGACTTTGAAGTCTATTATGAAAAGCTGCACACAAAAATTAAATGTACTACAAAGCCTTGTAACTTATAAACCATCCTGGAGTGACCCAAGCTCAGCAACTATGACCTGACCCGACTGAAACATTTGTTCAGGAGAACTATTTCTTCTGTTGCTGCTTTAACAGTGTTTGCTTCCTGATAAAAACATCCTCTGAAAGAAAGCTAGAGCTACCAAGGGTCATTTAACATCCCATGGGAAGAAAACTAGGTGAAGTTTGGACTTCCCAGGTCATTTAATGGGTTTATCATCTACAATATGCATCTGCTATGATCTAGCTGTTCTGAAATGTTGGGTGTGCACACCAAGTCCTTAGGAGACAAAGAGTAATACCAACGATTTCTGAAGCTTCTGTCTGCATGATAATTTCTTCCTACTCCAGTTTCTCAGAAAATGTCTGAGATTTGGGAAAGAAAAATCAAAGGTGATTAAGGCTGAAGACAAATTCACTGAGATTTTTAAGGGAATGAAACAAGACCAATTGTTACAGCAAAAGCTATTTGAGCTAAAGAGAATTGTTTCCTATGTATGAAAAATTATGTCTTAACAGCTAATTAGAACTTCAACCCTTGAGGATGAGATCATCTAGAATCAGATGAAATCTGAAATCATATATATATGTAGATATATATGTGTGTGTGTGTGTCTGTGCATGTATATATATGTTCAATTCTCTATGTCTTCATAAAAAGCCTCAGAGGGTGGTAATTTTTGGAAAAGAGTTAAAAAAAAGTGTTTGATTCTAGATTTTACTAACCAGTTTATAATAGGTCAGTACTTCTACATTTGAAAATATTTCTTAAAAAAAAGAGTTTATAACACTAACAGGAAATTGTTTCTTTGGGATATGAAATACATTATTATATTATTTTCCCCATCTAGTCTCAGAGTTAGTTATGGTAGCAGGAATCTTTTTGCACTGAGACAGGAAGTTATAAAATTTATTGAGAGCAGAATCATTCAATTGGTAAACAAGATTAGCTAGCAGCCCCTCAAGAAGAGACTTGTGTTGATGTGAAGAATTCATGAGCCTTTGTCATTCTCAGAACAAAGTCATTTGGCACAGTTTTTTCTGAGTATCTTGTGAACCTTGAATTTGTATTCAGAAGTTCTTTGGAAAAAATCCCATAACAGGGCTGGATTACTGAGAAACAACCACCACAAAAGTGCAAAGCCTTCGTGAAAAACACCAAAGGAGGTCAATGAAGCAGCCCAAACTTATGGACTGAGGTGTTCCTCATTATCTCTTTATCCATCTTCTGCTGGTTTTCATTCAGGAATCAATATAGAATAATACAGGGAGTGTAATATTAACTATCTAACTGGCTTTTTGCCAGAAAGATAAAAATTAGAGTGGGTATGAGTCTGTGGGTGGTAATAAGCTTACTTCTGGATTGTCCCTGAGTATTAGAAAATTGTGGCAACTGGCCAGATCAGCTTTTCACATCGTTCATCTTTCCCAAAAAGGGAAGAAGCCTCACAAGTTCTCACTTCTCTTCCTAAGGAAGTGATCTAGGCTTACAGATCAAGTGTTCCTGAAGTAGGACAAGGTATGTCATTGCAAAACATGCAGCAAGGTAAAGTACACTACTGTGGATAGATTTTTTTTTTTTTTCACAGGTAGAGCAACAAATTTATATTTTTAAACGTTGTTATTAAAATAAAAGACTAAAGAGCTAGAGTATAGCCTATTTCCGTGTAATGGAAGAATTATGAGAACTACAAATAAAATATACATCCATTTCACAAACATACTTGTTAACATTGCTGCCTGGGGAAGACAATAAGCCATACAAAATGTTCTGTAAGTAGCATCATTGTTGCAGCTATTCTTTTCCTGCTGTTACCTAGTCGTTTTAAAAATATCAAGGGTCCCTCTTTTTCATGTAAGAATATTAGTACAGAGGCAGCAAGGAATTAATTTCAATCTAAACATCACACTTGCAAAACTGGCTTTGCTTCTTTACAGTCTACGGATGTCTGTAGCCCCATTGTGTTTTTGTTTGAGCAAAGCCTGTGGCATAAGCTATAGGACTGAGTCAACACAGGAAGATTAAATGCAAAGTTTTGGTCTCAAGGTACTGACTGAGCTCAGTACTCATTACAGCAGGTCTTAAGTACTTTCCTTTCTCAGAAAGCAGAAAAATGTGTTTAAGAAGAAAGAGTTTGTAGCCTAGGCAGTCCCAGAAATGAGGCTGCTGGCAGAATGAATAGTACTGATCTATTGTGGAGATAAAGTAAATCATAAAGGCTGCAAGTTTGTGCACTCTGGTATAATTAAATAATTAGTTTTCCCGGCATCTATGTTTGTCACTTTAACACAGAACAAAACTCCTAGCAATATTTTCCAATAAAAATGTTGGGTTTGGGCATCTCCTTCGAGTATATCCAAGGACTTTCAGTTCTGAAAGAAAATAGGCTAATACTTTAGAGTTTATATAAATCACTTTGTTTAAGGTACTTTAACTGAACAGGTCCAAAAGGAACAGTCTTACTGTCCCTTCAAATTCTGTAGGCAAGATTTCCTTTGACCTCAAATAGATTTCAGGCCCCCAAAGCACAGTGGGACTGAGAAAATTTTTTAATTATTTTCACTATTTTTAACTATTTTAACAGATTCTCTGCAGTAACAGTCTGCTAGAATCAACTGACTACTGGCTGCAGAATCAGAGGACACCATGCCAAATTGGCTTTCTGGAAGACAAATCAGAAAACAACTGTGCCTCAGTAAGTACTCACTGTAATCCCCTCTGGGGAAAAGTCCATTGAGAGTTATTTGGGTAGGATGTGGGGCTAACTACAGTACATATTTTTTAAAAAATCAGTGACTAACTGAAATTATAGCAATCTATGTATAGTGTCTATAATCTCCATCTTTCTGTTAAAAGCAAACATACAAAGCAAAAACGCATACAGATTTCTATACAGAACACATTAATAAAGATTACTGCAGAGTTTCCCCCACATTTGGCTTTCAGACTTTGTGGCCCTCCATATTTTTTTTATGTTGATAATCTGCAACTGACAAGAGAGAAAAATAAGGCAAAGAGAAAATTATTCCAAACCATAACTTGTTAAGTGGCAGGTTGGAAAGAGCAGATGTTTAAAAGGCTGCTTAATGTTCTTGAAGGCATAGAGATACAATTAAAGAGAAAACTCTTTCCATATTAGATGAGGAAAAGCTGCCAAAGAACTCAAACAGAATTATTTTACATTTGAAATGAAATTTAAATCTCACTGTTGTGGGTTATAATGTAATTAAGAACAGCTTTTCGTTAAGAGCGTACATGAAGAAATAGAAGTTGTTATGTTGCTTTACACACTATCTATGTGAAACTGAATAGAAGTACATTGCTATGATTGTAGGAGTTTTTCATTTGATGAAGGACTCAGGAGTGCAGGTCCTTGTTTGGAATCCCATTTGATTGCTACTCCCTGTCCCCAGTGAGCCAGCAAGGGCTTTAGAAAAGAGCAGTTTTATCTTCAGATGAAAGGTTTCCAGCACTGCTTGTGGTACACACAACTTAAAGACCAGCTGAGGGCTCTCACTGAGTCTGCTGGGATTCCCTCAAATACGCGGACATTTCAGCTTTAGCTGATGAACCCAGACACCTGCTGTCAAGGACCTGAATCTCTGTCCCACAGTGGTGATGACTGGAGGCTTTGTGTCTTGCCTGGAGGCAAGCTTGAGAACAGCAGGAGTGATACAACAGTGTAATTGCAGCAAAGTTAGGAATATGGTCAAAGATTATAGGGCTCAATTTGCTGTCACACTGCCCACTGGACTATTGGTTTCCACAAGATGCAGTGAGCAAAATATACAACATAATCAGAGTGTACTAGTAAGCAACAGCACAAGGTACGAGATGAAAAACTAAACAGAACCCTCTGTCTATTTTAAATGATGGTGGGTGAAACAAATTAGAGGATATCACAGAGTAGTGCTTAGTGGTACTGATTTCCTAGACTCCCAAAATTAGACAGAGGGTAGTTTCCTATTCTTTGAGCATTATGCATCTATTCTCCCAAGCAAAAGGGTCACAGTATTAGGAAATGCAAACACGGTACAGTTGCAGCTGAAATGCTGTCACTTGAACAGTATCCTGAATACATTCCTAACCAGAACGGGGTCATCAGACAGGTAATCAGTGGTATCCTTGTTGTTTCATACAAGAAAGGATTGCCTTTAATGCAAAAAACACTGACCACAGACACTTGGTTTTACTATTTAGTATTACATATCCTAAAAAAACCTTATTTCCTCAGAGGAAATGACTACTTCAAATAATATAAAAAGTAATTATTATTTTCTTTTTGATAGGTTGAGTTGGGACTTTTTTTCTTCATGTTTATTTGAATCTCAATAGGAAACTACATCGATTTCTGATAGGATGGAGCTACCAAGAAAAGATAGACTTGGTAAAGCAAGACTATACTTGTATTTGATTTAAAAATACCCAGTATAGCTGCTTAATACATACTTTTCCTCTTGAAAGCACAGATCAGGTTTTATCTATCTCCAGTCAGTGATCTTATAGGGAAAATAAGCATTATTCTTACCAGAAGTGCTGAAATTACTTTTCATTACAATCCCAAAAGGAGATTCTGAGATAAGGGGTTTCAGCAAGTCACAAACCCAAATATCATATGTGCTGAATGCCCACAGTTCTCCCTGGCAAAGTCACACAAGGCGATAAATTTTATTTTAATCCTCACTTTGTCAAAAAAAGAGACAAACAAGACAAAGCCCTTTCCTAAGAGAATAGCTGCTGTTACTACAGTGTGAGGGTATAGATCTTCTTGTAGGCAGAGGGTAGGCAAAGGTACTCCATAAGTCTTTTAGGACACAGAATTGCCCCACAGTTCTTAATACCATCCTAAACTGCAAGACCCTGACTGACCCCTTTCTTACATAGGAGGAATATTAGGATATGCTTTGAAACAAGGTCTGCCAAGTCATCTTCTCACATTGCCTATTACTTGCATAGTGTGCATATAGGACAGTCAGTTTTCCCTCTATGGCTTTCTGAACACAGTGCCAACTGTACATACAGGAAAAGTTTTGCTATTTTCAAAGTGAAATTTTAGTACCTAGTTGATTCTGCAATTTAGTTATAATTACAGAAAAAAAGAGATTATATTGAAAGAATTTTGTGCTAAGGAGATTGAAGTGGAATGTAGAATAATATATTGAGTGAAATTAAAATATCATACATAGAAAGCATTAACTTAAATGCTAAGAAGTTAAATATTATTTTGGAACATCCCTGTTGACATCAAGAGAAAAGGTATTTGGTGACCTGGAAGCTTAGTTCTTGATCTGTCCCTGGAAGTTATGCTTCTGAGTTACTGTCAAATAGTTACTCATAAGCTGTTATAAGCAGAACTGAAGTTTTGTTCATATTCCTGGTTAATTTATTCTGAATGGTAGTATGGTACAGAAATTTAATTTGGGTGCCTAAAAAGTTGCACAACTAATGTAAGTAAAGCAGTAAACTAGAAAACTTTGACATTAATCATCAAACTTGATATGTGGATCAGAGTGTAAACACATATATTATTTTTTTTTTCAGAATTGCTCTCCCCACCTTAGATACATAAGTGGTTTATTTGGCTGTGCACAGTACCAGGGAACAGGGAATATTTAACCACAGTGCAAGGATTAAGCATTAATTCAGTATCATACCAGAACCTGCAAAGCATTTCATTCCGAGTCCTTTCCAGTGACTGACACTAAACAAGCAGAAGCTGCAGGAATGAGGGAGGAAGAGGGATATGAACATGGAATGGTTTCCCTGGCTTCTCAATTAGCAAGCAAACCAGACTTCCCTTAACAGAAAATATGTTCTATGTTCTCTTCCATGTGGAAGATTTTATAAATTGCTGTTGCCAATGGTGCCAGAGATGTTGTAATCAAACTGTCTCTGGAAGTTGTCATTAGGTTTGCAGAAGGAAAAAAGAAATCTCAAATGTACTATATCATTAACGGTTACTTTTCCCAAAGATAGCTGGTAATACTTTTAGCTATAGTGTTCAGTTTTCATTTAGCAGAGTTCATATTTAGTTATAAGGGGTCTAATCTTACTGTAACTATAAATGCAACAAGACCATATGAACATCACTTTCATAAATGTTATATTCATCACGTCCCATTACAGATTAGCACAGTTAGTACAAGTAAAAATAGACTCATGGCTGTCCTACATATGCTCACCAAGTATACTAACATTGATTTATTAAAACACTAAACATTTAACTCAGTTACAGCAGACTGCTTTTCAAGGAGGTAATTTTTTTAAGCAGAGCAGGCATTTTGGTACATGTAACAGTCTATTCATTTCCAAAGTGGTTAATGAAAATGTAGCCATTATGATATGAAAAATAATAAATTGTGTTAGAGGAACAGTATTTTATGTTTGCTTAAAATGGAAATCTTCTCCTGAGCTCTAAATTTGTTATTTCAAATTCTGATACCCCACCAAAAATAGAAGAAATGCTAGTGTGTCTATTTAATCCACTGTTTCTGGTCATCTGCAGGGATGAAAAATAGAAATCATAGGGAGAAATAAGTGAGATGTGATGTCTGTTCTCCATTTTTATGCCAATTTAGCGGTATGTTGGTGAATTGTCTATGAAAAGAGGTGTTATATGTATAATGAGTGACTATGATGTGAACAGAGTTTGAAAGATGTCTTGTCCTAACTTTCCTTTTCTACTTTCTGTACATATTATTTTCATCCAAATCTCTGTGTTTACATTTAGGAAATCAGATTAGATACACTGGGATTGAGTACAGGGGACAGGGCTAACTGTTTTAGGTTATTAGGGCTTTCCAGGGAGAATTCCCGCAGAGGCACCTCAGGAAGGGGCAGATGAAAGAGATTTCTGTGTACTTGAAGGAAGGCACAGTGGAAGAGAGCGAAGGTAAGTCCTAGGTAGTAGTGCTGTTTGTTTTCCTTTCTGTATTGGATTAGAAACATCCTGCCAGCTCTTTTTAAAATGTCACTGGGTTTAAATGTGCTACCCTCCTCATTTCAGATGACCCTATCCAATGTAGCCATGCTGTCTGCTTAAAATGATTAAACTCCCTCAAAGAGCAACTTTTACATCAATGAGTGGGTTTTTCCTCTTCAGAGAATATTTGAGTAACTGCTAAACGTTAAACTTAGTTCAATTAACAGTGATACTGTTTAGCAGCAGTTTACTGCTGCAGATTAGAATACATAGTTTCATGCTAATATCATAATTAAATAGTATACATTTTAAAGGTAATGATGGAAGTCTTGTTTTGTTTGTTTCCACTGAACGAGAACTTAATCAAAGTCCACCTAATAGAATAAAATACATGGATTCATGAGACATAATCATTCATAAGATGCACATAGGGACTTATAAATGTAATTAAAATATCTGTAATGTCACATTCTTATTACCCCACGGAGACACCTCATAAAATAACTATAGTTTCACATATATACTTTTGGCTACTCTGTTATTGCTAACTATCTTTCTCTAGACATACATCAAATGTTCCCTGCTTTGGACATGCTTTTAAGCAAACATTATTTGAAAAGAAAAAACTGATAGATACTTTGTCCCTAATTTCCCTCCAAAGATCTAGATTATTTAATTACCCGTGCTGAACATTTGTGGTTGTCTTATATTAGGACAAGTTAAGAAATTTAAATTCTTCCTTAATTAGATGATTTATGGTTTGTTCTAGCATT